TATATATACAAGGCTTCAAAAGATTATTCGCTATCCCGGCAACAACCAGAAGCGTCATAGACGACTAGTTTACCTTCGCGTCTTTTTGCTATTCCTTTTTAGTTGCTCTTTACATAGGAGAACTCTCGACAAGCAAATTTTCGAGTGAAATTGAATTGTTGAAACGTTCCCCACCGATGATCAAAGTAGAGGAGAGGTAGCGCCGGCTATATGCTAACGGTGTTGTGTCGTCTTCTAACAACACGCCATACCGCGTGGGCAGTACTATAGATCAGGTAGCCAGAGACTTGGGCTTCCACTTATCCAGTAGACCACCTTCTTCCTCTATGGAGCTAGCGGGCAAGGCAGAAAATTGAAAACCTCCGCCCAGAAACAGAACCAGTTCTTTCCTTGACATACCCATACAGAATGTCTGAAAAACTATATACTACACTGTAATTTAATTAGATCGCTTTTTTTTGACAGTACAGCGACTGGTGCCAATTGAGAATATCTGAATTTACTGTGAGAGTCTGTTCTAGCGCGCACCACAAAAAACTTTGGAAAAGATGGTGAATTTAATTTCAAACAGAACGAATGACCTACACACTATAACCGAAATCAAAGAATATACCTTGATTAAGATCTTCTTGAACAAAGATGTCTACCTTGCCCGGTACCCAGATCTGATTCGACTACCCCGGAAGACGTAAAGGGCGCAATTATCTGAGAATATGCCACAACAGGGAATGAACAAATATTTGCTAAGATTTGTAAATTCATAGGTTACCGTTATTAATAGTATATCAAGCAGAACGACAGTAGTTTTTAACGTCTTAAATCCTACACATTTTATATAGGTCGTTTCGAAATTTAGATATAGGTTATGTGCAGATAAACGCTTGAGTAATAATTATTAAAAATGTGTAAGCATTTTAGACCATCCCGTATAAACATAGTACGTAAAAGAACGACGCACATCTTCGCGGCGAACAGGGTTTTTCCTACGTTTCTGCCCGCCGGAACAACATCTACCCCGTGCAGAGGGAATGCGATGCCACCTTCTTTGTTTTTTTCTGTCTTGCCTCGATGCCGCCAATGCGAGACAAGCTGCGCTGGCTGACGAAGTTCTCGATTGTAGAAAACGAACGACATCCCCAGCTGTACCTCCTCGCCCCACGTCTTCTATCACCCACAATCGTTACTGCTGTCGCTGTGCCATAGCAATGGCAGCACTACTATGCGCAGTAGACCGTTTTTTTTCAGATTCTTTACAACCAACCAGGCTAGCCTGTCTTACATCTTCTCCCTAAGGAATCGATAATTTTAAGCGGAATCAACTCGCGGGCTGACGTAATTTCCCTGCGCGCTTAAGCCCCACCAGGCGGTACATCAAAAGCCTGTAGCAACCCAGTAACAGTATCATCAGGGAGAGTAGCGCGCCGTAGGCAATGCCGAAACTCAACAACCGGTGGTTCAAGGGGAAGGACACCAGCAACCATTCGAGAAATACAAGAGGTGAAAAAAACCCCCCCCCTCCCACTCCAAACGTATCTTGCCTCTTGCGAGGCGAACGAAGACTTAGGTGGCCAAACAAAACAATAAAAAAAAAAATGGGATTTGTCTATGTGACGCAATTGCTGCTGCGTTTGCCCTCTTCGTTGCTGTTGCTGTTTCTGGGTCAGACACTAGGAGACGGCTTGGGCGGTTGTCCGTTTTGCTGCTCTCTCTGCGACTATTGGTGTTGTTAACTGCGACTATCCATCTGAGAATGGTGCCGCCTCAAGTAGCTTCTTATTCAGCCAACGAGCTTCTACTTTAGGAGTTTTTTTCTCGCTTACTTCAATGGCATTCGGTTCGATGAGTGATTGTCGATAAAAATACTTCGACATCTGAAAAGAGCGGATGCTTAGAGTGGCAAAGAAAATAGTTGTACGAACAAATTTGGATTTTTCGATAAATTGTGAACGATTGAGTCAGTTAAACATAAGAAAGATTGTATAAAGTTTATACGAAGAGCCAGTGATGTAATGCACAAATGTGCGACTATATAATTGCTAATCCTAGGGTCCCGGAATATTCTGAGCTCTGCCTCTTTAGCAGCTGACCTACGTGAGAACAGAACTCGTATTCGATAAATGTGTCTTTGTTTATGTAAAGTATATATATTTTTGATGTCAATTTCGTACAATCAAATTATTTCAAGAGCGTTTCCTTTACATTGTTTCCTATGCTATTTGACCCCCGAAACGAAGTTCAGTATCTTAATGGAATGTCGTGATAAAACAGGTTCACCAAATACCGTGGGTCATGAAGGCGCAGCAGTTCTCTATGGAAGCGAACTTTAGGTCGGTGAAACAAATACCCATGATAGCTTAATAGGTAACGTATCTGCCTACTAATCGTAAGGACACGTTGTAGACAGGCTTAATTTTGTGCTAGCAGCCAGTCAACGGTCTTACGGAATGCCCAACGCCAATACCGGACATACAACTCGAAACCCAGATGTCAGCGAAACAAAAACAACAATATTTTTCCTTAATTGGACCTGCCGATGACAGCCTAGTAAATTTACGGCTCATTATCAGGTCCACGGGATAAAGTTGGTCAAACAACCCCAAGCGGTAGCAGACGGTGCCTGCGTATCAGCTTCAATGAGGGACTGACGTGCACCTGTACCCATTCACGATTCCCATGTATAATGATTTATGCTGAATGATTATCGCATTTAAAATCACACTCACTAAAACGTTAGATGAAACAGAGCCAGGTACAGAACGCCGCTCACGATTTGTTCAGCGTGCTTATGTAAAAACGTGTCTGTGTTGCACTCCACTGATAGCGTGTTTTTAAAAACGTTATTGTAAGATGAGTTCATCACGATCGCAATCTGGCTTCGTTATTGTACACGTTAGAAATTACCAGCCGCATCATGAAGTAGAGACAAATTACCCGCGCTACTTTCGGCCCATTCGCTAAATTGCAATTGCGTAAGCGGTCAACGGACTGCCGCGTAATCAAAGCAGAAATTTCCTGTAACAGTTGTTACTAGCTGAAGCTAGATATGAGAAATGAACGCTAAATTTTGTTGTGCCAGAAATTTACTTACTGAAACTTCGGAGAGGTAACTATTGATGAGGGATATCGCTGAACTTTCTTCGTCCAGTAGGAGATCCGTAAGGGTTAAGCACAATTACTCTGAAAGCTACATTAAGTCATTGTACCAATAAATTTTAACTAATAGATTGACAAAGTCATTTCGTCGATCCCAAAAAAAAGCATCGAATCATTAGCATTAATGGAAATCCATCAATGTTGGTCACTCTGTATCATAGATTGTTAAAAGACTCCGGCAATCATAACTCTATTAGTGGGTAGGTAATATTGCATACGATGCTGTGTTCTAGTAATGAATATATAGGGTTTAACTTAATCGTATCATTGCCAATACTTTGGCGTTGAATCTCCTTAGAAAAGAAACGTCATTTGATAGGCTATATATATTTCGAAACACTAAAGGAAGCTGACGACGCGATCGGACGAGAAGCGGTAAAGAGTCTTGGACCAGAAATCCCCTCAAGGAAGCTTGTAAACTTAGCCAAGGAAGAATTTTAGCACAAGAGCGTTAGTCCTTTTTATCTGTTGACTTAATCAAGAAACGTTTAATTGGAGTCCTTAGAGCTGTACAATGCAAAAGTAAATCTGTAAAACAAAAAACATGATAGTTAATTGGCAAAACAGAGAACAGTTGCCGAGAATCTACAATACTTTCTAACAGAACGTCACACCGAGCATTGAATTCACAGGACTCATATAGACACCATGCTCGTTCAGGTAAGGCCCTTCAAGTTCTAGCAAAACCTTGAGAGGAAAGCTAGTTTACGTGAAACAGCAGCCGGAGCGTTGAATCATTGCTAGAAATACAAAAGATCATCAGTCCATCCATTCAATATTCGTATTTTATTTGCGCACCGTAAAGATCTCATTGTAACAGTGGTTCCATATACGCTGCCGTTCCCAAGCAACTTTGAGGACTGTTGTCTCATAATTAGATCAGAATACATGAACCAACGCACTTCCCTTTAATGTATTTTGGGGATTTACAAACTATACGGCTTTGTATTCTCTTGGATGGTAGGCAGTCATTTGTCAGAAGATAGCTGCATAGTTCTATCGGCTAGTCTATGATAGTGTGTGCATTATCTGCCGCAATTAATTTTTCTTCATATCTTTTTTTAGAAATTTATCTCTTCGAGAATGTAGCTCTTCCCCATACCGACAGCGTTTCATAGAAACGAACTGTTCAGCTTTGCGTATGTATTTAGTTCTGTTGACTAAGCGCAATATGGTCTTACAGGAAACTCTTTTTTTCTGATACCACAGCATAGGACAGACCTATTTACGGCCATGGGGATCATTTACTATAGGTTCACAATCTTCAGACACGATACTCGGCATCTTTTGATAGTTTTGCTGGATAGTAAGTGCCTAATTGTTAACTAAGAAGTACTTCTATTGCCTAGAAAAGTATATCATGCAATGTATTTGTCGAGCTTCATTAAATAGGCACACGCATATTATAAGCACACACATAAACCTGAGTCGGTCATGGCTTAATTTCAGCAAGGGTGAAGGCAATGAAATCGCAGTCTCTTACTCAGTGATAATGTTGAACTCGCGATAGCTCTTTGTAGCGGATCCCACCCTCTATTTCAAATTTAGAATAGAATTCAGAGTACTTACATTCTCCAAACAGGCAGAAGTAATAAACCGAAAAGCGTCTTTCTTTGACATCTGACTTCCCATACGTCCGACCAATCATACCATTACTCCCACATGAAGTGTTCGATGCTGAAACATTAGTGTCTTATATTGAAGCTGTAATATTGAAAACGATGGTAGAAGGACATTTTGCGGTTAAGAAAAGAGAGGGCATGTTGTTAAAGCAGGGCTTCTCTCTTTTTAGGTTCAAACCAAGCTAGGCTTATTTATATAAACAAATTCTAGATGTCTTTTACGTAGATATAATACTACACCGGCTTGGCTACCTTGAGAGCCCCCTTCTACCGCTTGACTCAAGTTATCTGTCGGATGTCGATCGATCAGCCCAAGAGGAGGCTTTAGTTAAGTGTATGATCATTGTCATCGTTTACAGGGACTTTACGTCAATACATTCTCATTTTGGTTTAGGACATCAAAAGTGTATATAACACAAACTTGGCCGCGACAATCGCAGGTGCGATGAACTACCATTGTTTAAGAATATCCACAAGGTTCACCTACCGGCGGAAGACCATTGACATTATTCAAGTACATTTGCAATATCTACATGTCATACGCAAAAATCGAGATCGCTATCGAGGAAAACGTTCCCAACTATATGCGGATTTAATATTATCAAACGTTAAACGTCAGTCAAGTACCATGAAACGAGACACTCGAGATAAGCTACTAGCATTTGTGTGAGCGAAAAAGCCGAAGTATGTAGCATACGTAGGGCTTGCTTGATGTCTGTGCTTCTTTGTTAGATCGTCTTAAAATAGTTTGACTATATAAATAAATCCCTTCTTCACCGATGTGTGTGCAGGTACACGCTGGCATTATGGCAACGAAATGTAGTCGTCTATGGCTTCTAGTACCGGATGATGTAAACTACTACTAGTAAACAATAATGGAAAACGATAAAGTCGAACCCTTTTTTTTTTTTTTTTTTTTTAATGATTAATTCGATTAAAGTACTCCCATATGTGTATAGGGTATGTGTGTACGAAACTTACATTCGACAAAAGCTTTTCCAAATGAAGCGTAATACATGGAAAAATATTAACGGATTCTGGTTAAGAGTGCTTCTTAGTACTCTTTTGTCAATAGCAGATTAGTCTATAAAACTATCTGTAGAATAGGACTACTTCTTCTTGCGGTTTTCTACGTAAAAAAAGTCACTGTGCTATGGCAATTTTTTAAATCATCTATAATATAAAGGACGAGTATTCAGAGCCTTCTGATGCGTTGTGGCAGCGTCACGTGTGCAGCCTTGAGACGCGCATACGTATATGACTTCGACATGAGTCCAACATCTGCTTTCGGAGGCTGAACGAAGTAATGTGTTAACGAGGCGATACCGCATATGTGTCTACCAGGACAAGAATATTCAATAAGGGTAATTTCCTCACCAATTTTAACTGGGTTCTATATTTCGGTTATTCGAATTGTCTCACAGAGGCCATTATACCTAAACAAAAGCACTGTTACAGAGAAGCGCTAGAAACGAACGCGACAATTAACTATAGAATCTGACGATCACACCTATTTTTGCACCTTAACTTAGAAGGCTTTGCCCTATTAGTTGCACTTGTGTCGTGTCGCTGCTGCCAGTAACGACGTGGCATTATACAATCGGACCGAATTGCTGCCGGACCTTCGGCCGGTGCACTGGAAATGCAAAATTGCACCACACCTGCGCGTACGGCCTTGAACGTACATCAAGCGTTGGGCCCCATTTGTAGCCGGGAATATATGCAAACATAAATATGCTGTTGTGTCTAAAGCTTGCATATACAAATATAGTAGTTAACCCATTCAGAAAGTAGCTGATTAAAGCTAGCTCTTTACTTATTGCTATACATGAGCGATGTACAGACAACATTCGACGGGTTTCTCATTTATTCTAAATCGGACAAGGAGACTAAGAGGCCACGTTTATAATATATTCTAGTTTTATACGTTTACGAATATATTCTAGAACCGAATCAGCTATGGAAGGCACAAAAGCATTTAGTATGTAAAATGCAAAAAAGACGCCGATTCGACGTAAGACGGCGACGCTTCAACGTAATGCCTAGTAGCTTTTACGCTTCACAATTACGAACTGGCCTATATTGATTAAATTTGGACGTCGCATTATTTTAACGTCTGTAGTCATCTATTCTGGCCAGTGTATCTGACTTCACCATACACCAGACGAAATTAATGAAGTGAGGAAATTTCGAAAGAAAAAAAATCTTCAAGGAAAAAGCTGTCGCACGCGAAAATCAATCGAAGGTAAGTTGTTGAAATCATTTGACGAAATCCCAAAATCCAGAACTTAATGGTTATTTTCAGGCGTAGAAATTTAAGTGTAATCTATGTATTATGTATGTATGTTTTTTGGCCCACTAAATAGATACTGGAGGTCACAGGTTTAAATAGTTATACCATAGGTTATACCAAAGATATAGCACAGGGTCCCGGCACAGATATAACGAATTCACGGCTTGATCTACCTGAACAATACTATCGTTAGCTAGAGAGCCGAATTTTTTTTTGCCCAGAATTAGTGCAGCGCTTTTTTTGTACTGTCCTTTTTTTATTACTATAAAAAGTCTCGCTCGGCCTAGACGACGATGCTTGAACTTTGTATGCCGCGTAATAAGGTGAGCTTTTTCAACGAATGTCTTTATTACCGTCTGAATGGTACTACGTACTGTTTGCTTCCCAACGACAATTGTTGCGTCACAACTCGCATCAGAACCCGAATGTTCCTTCTTGAAGCAATCATCGTTTAGGCGAAAGCTGTTTACTGAATCTGCCGGTGTTAGAGATTTCAACAGAAAACGAACGCGTCCGCGGTTCGTATCTACAATTTTTATGCCTCAGTCTTGTGTATTTGGCCTCAAGACCATTTCAGACTTCGGCATTAGTGCCCTTGACTTGTATGACCATTAAAGATTATAGAATATTTATCACTGCAGGGTCACACCTACAAGCAGCATGACAAAACTGTTCATCAAGTTTTTTTGCGCAACGGAAGACATTACAGCATATGGTTACTGCTGTGAGAGACAGGCAATTGCAATTAAGTAAACTTCAAGCGAAGGAAGTCGTACGTTCAACTGTTGTACTGATGGCCTTCGATATTGCTATCACTTTATTTCAGGTGTA